GGAAGAAACTTCACCAAGGAGTGGCTCATGTGGAAGAAAGGGAAGTCAAGAAAAGGCGACTGCAGTGAGAGGAGTCAGACGTGGAATTGGTCAAAAAGTAACCCAGGGGGTTCACCTGTGAGATGTAGGATAAGCAATTACAGGCTAAAGGTATAGGTGGGCCAGATATAGGTAACCAGAATAAGTACGTGGGTGTTTGTGTGTATTTTTCCTGTTTGTGCCTGAGGAGGTGTCTGCTGACAAGCTTGACAACGGGGGGATACCAGCCAACATACACACACACATTGACATCATCCTAGTACCTTAGGATTAGATGAGAATATCAACTTAAGAGGCGAGAAAAATGCTGCACTTTCACACCAGCGGTTTTGACTTAAGACGGACAATGGGCTCCAAAGAATGAGACATCATGTGAATGGGGATGAGGGAGAGTCATGGATTTGCAGTCTAAGGAGAAGAAGATTCACAGGCACTGGAATCAGCAGTATCTGCTCTAAATTCTCGAATATGGCACAATCGAGGCCGTAAATAAAGTAGTAATTGTGATGTTTAGCAGCGACCAATTGACAAGCGGGTAGGAAAGAAAGAGGGGACAGAATGTAATTCAGGAGCCCTGCAAACTGAACCTGATACCGGTGGTAGAGATGATTACGCTTCACTAAGCCAACTTGTAGCGACACACTCTTGGGCAACATTGAAGGAAATGAGAACACAGAATTGTGTGAATAAGTGGACGGGCGATATGAAGTGGGGTTGAGAGAAAGAGATGCGACACTAGAAGGTAGAACCAAAATTGGGGTGAGGAATGATGCCACGACGGTTGAACAGAAAATTGATCACTTGTCACTTTGATAAGTTGCAACTTTGTGCTAAAGATGGCACATACCGACTACGATGCCGGCGAAACGTTTAAGAATGTACCACAAACGCTTTGACAGAGGACACGGGACTAGGTACGTTCCATAAGGTCTCCCCGACGCTCCGACCAAGTTGCAAAAACAAGGTCGAACCAACACTATGTTATTTAAGATATGAAGACCAAGATGGTGTGACCTTTTGTGTGGTCGCAGTCTCCTTTCGTTGTATAGAGCTTGTTTGACTGTGTTTTCGCAACTTGGTCGAATTGGTAGGAAGACTTAGAGGAACGCACCTAGTCCGGAGTCCATTTTATGTAGAATCATTTCCAAATTCATAAATGTACGTGGGAATGTATCATATCCATAGTCTGACCAAGTTGCGAAAATAATGTCAAACAACCACAATGTTACTTAGTTATGTAGAAAAACTGGGTTTGGAAGAATTTATTATTAGATTGATGTT